CTCCCACGTTTATGATGCTGGGAAATGTATCAAGGAAAGAGAATCCAAAAGTTCGAAGTCACATTAGACATGTTTTAAGAGACTGTCATTAATCACTCAAGGTCCCTGGAAGCACAATGAAACTTCCTCCAGAAGTGTCCGGCGGAGACCTCCGCACGCACTTCTCAGCAGTCCTGACACGAGGAGAAATCAGTCAGGCAGCAGATGTTTCTGGACGGACGACCCCGCGCCAGAAACTGGTCCAGATGTGTAGCGGGGCAGCCGAGGGGCAGGGAGAGATGTGGGGTCCACGGACATGGACGGGGTGCCTGGGGGTCCTCCAGCACGGAGCCTGGGGGGTGGAGGGGGACCCGAGAAGGGCCAGCGGCAGGCGGGAAGGCCACAGGGCTGCCGTGCGCCACTCTGCCTGGGGCACAGCCCAGTCCCCCAGCTCTGCCCTCATGTCTACTCCTATGCTTGGCTTTCTGCCTGCCGCACCCCCGTCTGAAGGTAGCGCCCCAGGGACCGGGCTTAGGTGTGCTCGGCCGGGAGAGGAATCGGGACGTGCACAGGGCGCTCGCCAGCGTGTGCTGGGAGGCTCTGAAGGACACCAAGGGCCTCCAGGGTGATGGAAACAGCGATGAGCCCACGGGAGTATGAGGAGGCAGGAGGAAAGCAGAACACGTCAGCACAATAGTGAAGGCAACGGAGAAGTGGGGGCAGGAGAAATCTGCGTTTAAGAACAGGCGATCTGAAGGGTTGGCCACTCCACGGGGGCTAAGGAGGGACCCAGATGGCCCAGGAAAAAGAAGGAGACGCAGGGTCCCAAACCAGAGGGAGACGAGAGCAGACCAGGCAGGGCTGGTGGGCTGCCTGGAAGAGGGGACGCCCTGTCTGGTGACCACGTTCCCTCCATGAAGCACCAGGCAAGGTCTCGACACTCCACGTGAAGCGGAGGTCTGAAGGTCTGAAAAGCGTGGGGCTGCGCACAGCCATGGGACGTCCACGATCCCAGAGGGACACGCGAGCTCTGTGCAGGGAGGCACATTACCTCGTCCCACACGGGACACCGGGGAACCAGGGATGTCAGCCAGTGTGCCCACGGCTCACGGGGGGAGGGGGGGGCGCGGCTGGAACTTCTGGCCTCCGTGATCCACTGTTGTGTTTCTCTCGGATACCGGCATACACGCGAAAGCAACAGCAACCTCATTCAATCCTGCTGAATTTCTAATGCTGTAAAAATTGCCTTCCATCGATCTTCGCTGCAAATAAAATAGCATTTTTGCCAAATTTAACTTGGTTAGAAAAGCATTTATAAGTCTGGGACTTAGGGATCCAACCATCTTTTATCAACCCTGTTTCTGTTTGAACATATGGTCGGAGCACCGAGGAACAATTTGTATTTAGGTTTGTAAACGCAGGACTTCCTGTGTAGTTAAGTGGTGAAGCATGTTCGTCGACGGGGTCAACGCAGTTTTGACCAACTGTAAACGGAGACAGTGTTCTCATCCTTAGAAATGTAACTGACTGTAGCAAAACCCATAATATAAACTCCTTCTCCGCATTGTGATTAAATTTACCCTGTGGCTCAGAATAAAAGCATCTCGGGATCACTTGTTCCTAATGTGCAGAGATTCTACGGGGTTTGTGGGAACAGTGCAGAGAGTTCACCGAGAGCTGGAACATAAAAGGTTAAATTAGAGACCAGGCAGATTGCTTTCAAATGTGCGGCTGACCCCAGGCAGCCCCCAAGGACCAGCGTGGGGGTGGCCAGCTCACGTAAACACTTCACAAGGCCAGGCGCTGGGCCGCACTCAGGCCAGGCTCACCGTCTTCAAGGACCGGCAAGCCTTGGCAGTAAAAGCCATCTCACGCGGGATGAGGAGAGGAACTCCAAGTCCTGCAGCATTTTAAGTTGTTCAACAGAGACTGGAATAACTGAGTCAAACAAATGTCTGCCCTCTAGAACAGGCCACCTCTCCGGTGAGCGTGGACAGTGGTCTACATGGACATGGAGGAATAGAAGCAGACACAGAGATGGCTGGACTTTCTAGAAGGTTTACAGCACTCAAATACAGTCGTGCTTAAAGTTCTCCGGGGACCCAAAACATTTACTTTTCCCTTACAGAGAAAGCCCTACTGTAGCAGCTTGTTCCAGAACCAGGATGCACTGTCAGCAAGGAAAGCCTGCACATTTTTCCCAAGTTTACTGTCTGAAAACCTAAGAAAGATCCTAGAAAGCAAACAGGGTGAGAAACAAGTGGAGACGGACGGGCAGCCTGGCAGAGCTGGGGCCGGATGCCCAGGCTGAGCGACCGGAAACAAATCCCAGCCCCAGAACAAGACGAAGCTCAGACCCACAGAACTGCCAAGCCGAGTCTCCCAAACGTGAAGCCCGGAAGGGAAGGAGGTGCAGGCATCCTGCGGCGCGGTTATCCTGGCCTGGGATGCTCACGCACGAGCACACGTATGGCCAGAGACAGCCTGTGGCCTGTGTGCCTGGCGCCCAGGCCCCCCACCCGGGGCCTGAATCGCGCTAACGGCCTGTGTGATAAATGTACCGAGTGTTCCCCGAGAGCCCGCACGCTCCGAGCTCCCACCCGTATCCCTCACGCGAGCCTCTCACAGCCCGTGAGACGGCGCCCCGGCTAGTCTCCGATGGGAGCACGGAGGCTGGGAGCACCGAGGCCGGGCCTGCCCAAGGTTACGCGGCCTAACCCGTGGGCGGGCCAGGTTCACCACCAGGCAGGCGCCTACAGACCCTGCGGGGACCACGAGGCTGCCCGGGCTTCTCCCAGAACTGAAACCCCCTGAGCCCAGGCTTCCCGCCTCTCATCTGTAAGGAAAGAACTCAAACTCTCCATCCCCTTCGTTAAATACAAAAAATTGTAAATAGGCCCAACTACCTCATGATACATGGACCACATCACGGTACACACACCGTGCTGTCTCTACCCAGGTCACCTCCACACGGCTTCCGTCCATCCACACCACCAGTGACCTGGCTGCCATCTACACAGCGGGACCCGGACATATTTCCCCCCTTCATTCTCCTGTTCCCTCTCTCTCTTTCTCTCTCTCTCTCTGGAGTTCGCCAGAATAAAATATCTGTAGTAATGTTTTCAAGGACTTCTTTACCTCCTGGCAACCCTCACACCTCAGAAGGAGCTGAAAAGTTTTCTCTGTCCTAGAAATTCTGACCGGGTGAACACGGGAAGAGAACAGGGTGTAAGCTTTTATTTGTTCTTATAAAATAAGTCACATAAGGAAACCACACGGACATAAGTACTCAATCCCAGGCTCTGCCTCTTCTTCCAGCAAAATGAAATATAATTCGGTCCTACATAATGACTGACCCTGACTGTTCCTGGAAAAACTCAAATTAGTTCAATAGCATAAACAAGAGCCTAGTATCACAGAAATGGATGGTCTTGTACGTGAAAACGCTGAAACAGCCAAATGATCACACTGAAAAAAAAAAAAAAGACCTAGAATGGACAAACAGAAATAAGAGTATCCCATAACCTGTGTTCTAGGGACGTTAGCAAACAATGCACACGCCTAGAAAGTTCATTAAGCAAGAGCTACCTCTTAGGTTTGAGAGAAAACGGCATTTCATGAGCCTAATAACATAACAAAAGGGAATTTTAACACGTCAACTACAAGAAATTTATATAAATTGGTAGGACATAAAACAGCTGAGGGCCTAGAGGAAAGGCCCCACTGCCAGGGTGAAGGGTCAGGAACCGGGAGGGGGGGGGGGATAGTGGCAGGGCCTCCAGGTCAGAGGAGACCATCCACCGGCTCTCCTGGAGGCAGACTGATGGTCCCCCTCACACGCAACCCTCCCTCTTATCACAAAGTGTTAGAGTTGGAAAGGAATGAAAATTAACTGGAAGACTGTGAGCACACTTTAAGTAACACTAGCTCCACGCTCCTTCTGGTTTCCCTTTGGGGAAACAGAGGCAGGAACATAACTGGCCGAGGGACAGCCGGGAAGAGAGTGTCCTTGCCTGACAAAGCACTTCTCTTACCTATGGTCACTGTGACCGGGCTTTCCAGAACTTATCACGGTGGAGAAACAAAGGTGTCACCTGATATTTACCACTCACTTCACAGTATGGACTTTGGGGGAAATCACATGAGCTTTCATCTGCTAAGCCCCGCCCCACCCTTCTCTCCACGGCAAGGTCAGCGGCCTGACCTGCCCCAGCGAACAGGTACCTGGGCCAGGTGGGCACGGTTCCCCTGCCTCGAGTCCTCCGCTGAGCGGATCAGTTCAGGGTGAGTGATCTGCGTCCCCGTCGATGAAGACACACACTGATCCCGGCCAGGGTCCCCTCTAAAAGAGCTCACAAAGAGCAGAGTCTGCCCAAGACAATTCCTGCACCGCAGAGAGCCCCAAGTCCCGAAACGATGCCTTCAATCCCCAGTGCGAGCGACTCCTGCAACCTGTGCCTGACCGCGGACGGATGTCGGCCGCGGGAACAAGCGCCTTTTGTGGAGACAGTGCCCTCGGGACGGCGCTCCTTCTCTTCTGCACTCCCCCCTTTCACAGCCGCGCGCAGCGTCCCCGCGCCCGGGGGTCGGAACAGCCCGCCTTCGCCTCGGAGCCTCTGCGGGCCTCCCCGCGCCGCCGGCGGCGAGTGTGGACGCCAGAGGAAGCCACACCCGGCCTCGGACCCGCCGGCTACTTTCGGGGAGAAGAGCCGAACTGCGCTCCTGGGTCCCCCAGGGGTGTCACCGGCAAGAGCAACCAAGTCTCTGCCTCTTCTGCAGGAGTGGGACACTCCCGTCTCGGCATCCGGACCGGCCTCGCTCCCAGCCCCGGCCGCGCGCGAGGCTAAGGACGGCGCCCGCCGCGCAGCCCCGGCCCCGGGACGCCGGCGGAGCAGGTGGACGGACGCCCGGCCCGGCCGTCGCGCGCGCGAGCAGCGGACTCGGCGAGCCTCGCCGGCGCCCGCCGCGCCCCGGCCCGGCCCCGGGGCCCGCTCCCCCCCCCCGCCGCGGGCGGCACTCACGTATCTGCGCACGAGCGTCCGCACCAGGCTGCAGTCCATGGCTGCCCGGCCGCGCCCGCCCGCGCTCAGCGGCCCCGCGCCCGGCTCGGCGCGCCCATGGGCCCCGACCCGGTCACGGCCCGCGCGCGCCGGGCGCTGCGGCGGGCGGCCGCGGCCCCTCCACGCTCATGCCCGGCGCGGGCCGGCCGCTCGGCGCCCCGGCTGCCGGCGGGGCTGCGGGCTGGGAGCGTGCCGGCGCGCACGAGCCGCTCTGCCGCGCGCCCGCCTCGCCTCTGCGCTCCGCGGTGCTCGGCTCCTCCTCTCCGCCCGGCTCCTCCCCTCCCGCCCCGCCCTGCGCCCGCGCCCCTCTCAGCCCTGCCCCCGGCCGCCGGCCCCGGCGCGCACGTCACGAGCGCGAGTGAGCATGCGCCCCGCGGCCCGCGCCCCCGCCCCGCCGCGCCCGCCCCCGCACACCCGGCGCGCGCGCCCGGCCCGCCCTCCGCGTCCCCGCGCCGGCCCGCCCCCGGAGCGGGGAGGACCGGGGACCCCGGGGCTGGGGCCGGGGGCCGAGGGCCGGCGGCGGGGACGACGCCCTGTTGCTTCCGCCTCCCGGGGCCTGGCCTGGGGCCGGGGCGCGGGGACGGTGCGCCCTGCGGAAGGAAGCGGCGGCCTGCGCCCCGGCGCCCGGCTCCGACGCTCGCCGGAAACTTCTGCCTCCCCCCGGAAGGCCCGATGGCGGGCGCGAGGCCGCTGGGGGCCGGAGGGGCCCGCGTGGCGCGGCATCGGGTTGCGCGGGGGACCCGCTAACCGGGCCTGGGCGGCGCGCGGGTGCCCAGCCGGTCCGCACGCGTGTTCGCTCCTGCTCTGCAGGTCGTGCTGCAGGTGGCTGCCCCGTCTCGCTCAGCTTCGGTGCGCAGGGGTGGAGGTCGGCCTAGGGTCTGCCGCCTGAGAGCCTTCCTCTCTGAGACCCGCGCCCTCCGTCGCCTCCGGGCTCCAGAGTTGTAATCGGGCGGGGGCGAGGGCTTGGACCCGGTCCCCAACCTGTTGCACGAGCTGGCAGCCCGGCTGTGCCGCCCTCTCCGGGTCTGGCCCGCCCGGCCCGGGAGGCAGGCCACCGGAGGCCAAGTCTGGGAGGGCAGTCGCGCCGCGGTTCGCCGGGCCTCCGGGTTCCCCCGGGCACCACGCCTGGTGCTGCCCACTCTGAACCACACAGAACTGCTCCTGAGAGCACCGACACCACGACTTCGCCCCCCGGGCATGCTTCTGTTTTCCCAGCGGAGAAACAGACCCTCTTCAGCTCCACACTCAGCTTTGTAGTAACTGAGGTGCTTTGCTCCAGCTTCTCGTCCCGCTGCCTCCAGGCCATCTTGTGACACCTGAGTGCCAGAGGTGGAGGGGCAGTGCCCCCGCCCTGGGAGGGAGGTGATGGGGCGAACGTCCTCCTGGCTGGTGGTGGAAGAGGAGCCTATTGCCCGCTTTCTGGACCAGGAGCGGAGCCTAGAAACGAGTCGCTTAAGGGGAGGAGTGACTACGAACTACCTGGGTTCTGAACGACCTTCCTTAAGTAAAGCACTCCAGTTCTTGGTCAGCTCGCACACTGCTTCTCCTCATTCCATCCAAATCTCTCTGCCCTTCTCTGTCCTGCTCTGACCAGGAGGCCGATGGTCATCCTCAGTGGACCTTCCCCAACAGGGCCGCCTGCTGCAGGCTGAAGACCGTGGAGGGTCTGGGCATGCCCTTCCCCTCCGGCCTGGCCTCCCCGGGGCCTGAGCAGCTGTGGCCCTCTGTGCGGACAGTGCTTGGACACCTTCCTTTTCCACTGTGTCAACTTGGGTCAGCCTCCAAGAACTACAGTCTTCTCCCCTGGCCTCCATGGCCTCCTGCTCCTGCCGTCCCTGGGCAGTGGCACCCCTGGATGGGTCCCTCTGTCACGCTGTCTCCCAAATCTCCCAAGAAGACCCCTGCGTCCTGCCAGGACCCTGGTGGCTAGGGCCAGATTTTGACTAGCCTTCTACCTTACCAACTGTGACATTTGAAGGGTGTGCGGGCACGAGCAGCAGGCAGGGTTGCTGGCTGAAGGCTGCCTGTCACCCAGGAGTGTCTGTTTCAGTCAAGGGCGAATGTTAATTTCACGTTGTAGCAGCCGCTCGCCCCCTGTCCTCGCTGGCAGACACCTGTCCTGGTCCAGGAACCCACCCTCTGCATGGTGCGGGGCCAGCCCTCGTTCCTGTAAGCCTTCCTTTCCCATGACTGTTTTAAAACAAGTCTAAGCCAATGAATCCTGCTGTGGGGGAAAAAAAAACCTTTCTTTACTCTTAAAAAGGCACAGGAAGAGGAAGGGCTCCCCGTTTCCTGTTGGCTGTGTGTCTGGATGTGACGGCTGGTACCGGCAGCCTTCTCGTGTCCAAGCCAGGAGGCAGCTTGAGGAACATCCTCACGGTGGGGACGGCAGCGCGGGAAGATGGGAGGAAGCATGATCCTTGATGACACCATTGGCCACTCACCGATCCTGCCGCCCCTGCCTGCATCTTCATTTAAAACCTATGGAAACAAATCAGTTAGGACTCTATTAAAATCCAACTCACCCTGTGAGTTCGTTATTTATTTCTGTAGAACAAACCACCGCAAACGAGAGTTTCAACAACAACAAGCGTTTCTTTCTCAGGACCCCGTGGTTTGGCGGAATGGCGTCTCTGCTCCTCCTGGTGTTGACTGGGATTGTCCATGGGGGACTCAGCGGGACCTGGAGGCTTCGGAGGCTTCAGTCACACGTCCAATGTCTCAGCTTGGGGGATGAGAAGTGGGAGCAGGCTGGCCTCTATCTCTCCATTCGGTTTCCCATCACAGACATCACGGTCTAGCCTCAGCTTCTTTACATGGTGGCTGGATCCCAAGAGGGTCAAAGTGGACACTGTATGGCCCCTAAACGGAACACTCCTTCTGCCACATTCTCTTGGGGAAAGTAGGTTCTAAAGTCAACTCAGATTCAAGGAGAGGAACCGAAGAGACTTCACATGTTGGTGGGAGGAGGGCCTGGCACCAAGAGAGGAGAGACCTTGTGAGCCGTCATCTTGGAAATCATCTGCATAGCAGACTTCAGCAGTAAGGGGATGTTTTGCCAGCATCACGCTAAGCCCAAGTGAAATGGCTGTGGGAAGCTCCAGGGCCTATGTGTTTCTTCATTTACACCAGGGGCAGAGAATTTCAACTCTGACCGGATCAGCTAAGTCCTGTGCACAGTCCTGGCCAACCGGTCATTAGGATGGTGGAATGCCATGAGATGATCAGCTGAGGCCTGGGTTCAGTGTGCACCCATGACTCATAAGTGTCCAAGGGGAATGGAATGATCCTAATCAGCTTCAGGTCTTCAGGACCCCCCCCTCCCCACCCTCCACCACCAACCCCCCAGCAGTATGGCTGTTTCACCACAGTGGAGTGCAGCGTGAATGGGAGGGGGCAGCAGATAGGATGCAAAACCCAGAACATAAATCGAATTATGGGCTTGCCTCTGGATGCCCAGGCTACATGCACACCCACACCTGTGCACAGACTCATAAACCCCACTCTCTGTTCCTCCCCTCCGCCTTGGAGAGGGCTGGGATGGTAACCCGGGATCTTGGATTCATTGACTTCTAAGTGAGAAAGGCTTTTGGGAGGGGTGCCTGGGTGGCTCAGTTGGTTAAATGTCCAACAATTGATCCCAGCTCAGGTCTTGATCTCAGGGTCATGAGTTAAGTCCCACATTGGACTCCATGCTAAGCATGGAGCCTACTTCAAAAAAAAAATTTTTTTTTAAAGAAAATTTAAGATAGTCAAACTATGGAAAGAGCCCAGATGTCCACCGACAGATGAATGGATAAAGAAGATGTGGTTCATACATACAATGGAATATTACTCAGCCATCAAAAAGAATGAAATCTTGCCATTTGCAACAATGTGGATGGAACTAGAAGGTATTATGCTGAGCGAAATAAGTCAGTCAGAGAAAGACAATTATCATATGATTGCACTCGTGGAATTTAAGAAACAAAACAGAGGATCATAGGGGAAGGGTGGGAAAAATAAAACAAGATGAAATCAGAGAGGGAGACAAACCATAAGAGACTCTTAACTGTAGGAAACACACTGAGGGTTGCTGGAGGGGAGGGGGTGGGGGAGGGGGTAACTGGGGGATGGGCATGAGGGAGGGCACATGATGCAATGAGCACTGGGTGTTATATGCAACGGATGAATCACTAAATTCTACCTTTGAAACTAATAATACAGTATATGTTAATTAATTTAAATAAAAGGAAAAAGACTTTTGTGAAATGGGGGGGGTGCAACCTTCCTGTAAAGACGGTTCAAAGAAATTATTGTTACTGAGACCTCGAATGACAAACCTGAAGCCAAACTGATTACTAAAAACATACAACAGGGAAGTAGGAGTTGACACATCTTGTTTTTTGTGGGAAGAAGGGGAGGCACTATGTATCAGGGTGCTGGGCCCCCTCCGTGAGCAGTCTTGCTCCTCCAAGCTGTACCCTTCTCTCAGGCCACTGTCCCTGCAGGTCCAGAATTGTGGGGGTGCCATCTTCCCATGGATTGGTTCTAGAATTCTCCAACAGCAGAAAGCCACAGGCTCCCTCTGGCCTCCCTCATCCCTTTGGTCTGGAATCTTTTGCGGCACCCTGTGTTTGTCCCACAAACCTGCTCATCCTTTATATTCACCACACCATGCTCAGCTCCCTCTCAGATCCCAGTTACCACCTCCCTTAGCGCTCTTAATATCACCAACTCAGCATAACTTAGTTATTTGTCCAAAAGCCCTGCTTGTTGATTAAAATCAGCCAGGGAGATTTTTTTTTTTTAAAGATTTTATTTATTTATTTGAGAGAGAGAATGAGATAGAGAGAGCTTGAGACGGGGAAGGGTCAGAGGGAGAAGCAGACTCCCTGCCGAGCAGGGAGCCCGATGCGGGACTCGATCCCGGGACTCCAGGATCATGACCTGAGCCGAAGGCAGTCGCTTAACCAACTGAGCCACCCAGGCGCCCCAAGGGAGATTTTTTTTTTAAACAGAGATTCCCTGGGACCCCTCCCCCTAGCCCAGATGCTGTGATTCTATTGGTCTAGAGTGGGGTCCCAGCATCAGTGTCTTTTAAAAGCTCCCAGATATGGCAGGTTTGAGACCTGCTAG